AAAGATGTCATTTAGAAAGAAATGTTAGCATTGTAATAATGTTATTCAACAAATATTTGAACATCTCTTTTCTGTTTGGGGAAGAGGAAATACACAAATGTAGAAGATATGTTATCTGTAGTAGAAATATCAGATTTCACTCGGGGGCCCGCCGCAAGCTAGCTGTTCACTTTGAAAAAAATCACTGACCTTCTCTGGGCTGGTTTTCTCATCTCTGAAATGAGTGGATTGCATCAATGTGGTTCCATCTAGTTCTTACAATGTGTGTGTCTGTGAGACAAGATCGAGTCTCTCAGAGCTCAAAATCGAGGAGAGGTGCAGCAATCGGACATGGCTTTCAGGCACCCAGCGTCACCAAGACCGATGGGAAATCCCCAGGAATTCTTGACATCTCCCCACATCCGCCCCAGCAGCAATGCAGGAAATCTAGTCCACTATCTTCAGCAGACTCAATGGAACCGTTTCCTTAATGAAGCCCCGTGCAGCCCCGTGTGCTAAGCTTTCCTTTCAAAGGCTTTCTTTTCAAACCCTCCCTCAAATACCCCATTCCTCTCATTTCCTTCCCCTCTCTCAATCTGGTATAAAACCCAGCAATTTAATCAGCAGCATGCACTTTCCAAGGCACCCAAGAGAGTGAGGAACCAACAGTGATCCTGGAAAGCCTGTGGCAGGAGACCTTGTCATTGCTCACAAGCGTCTCCAGTAGACTAAGGTCCATGGAGCAGAATGGACTGTTCAGTTCTATTAAATTGTTTAAACCCAATGCAACAGATGGTTTTATGCTTTCAACCACTCACACTAATATATTTTTACTTTAAAAAAAAAAGCTTGGGATGATTTCAAATGCCCTTCCTCCTCTATCCACAGTCACACATTGAAAAATGATGATATTTACTTGATATCTGTGTGGCTGAACCTAGAACCTGACATGCCTGGTCTCTGCTAACACCAGCAGGGTTTGCATTTAAGTGCCAAGATAGCTTCTCTCACTTTCTCTTTATTCTTACGCCCACTCACATACACATCTCAATTTAAAACACTACAGAAGCTACTTACTCTTCTATTTGTTCTTGTCTTTCCCAACCGCCCAAACCAGGGTAAACATTGGCCATAACTTTGCTGTGTGTAGATGGCAGTAGGTTGCATAGTCTTCCTGAAGGACATTACATTTTTGTGGTCAATATAAAACCATATTTTTGCAATATATTTTCAACTTCTACATTATATACATTCAAAGTAGATTTAGAAATGCCTGGATAGTTTTTGGAAAGAACAAAGTAATTATTTGGTTTCTTTCTTTCTTTCTTTCTTGTTTCTTTTCGAGACAGGGTCTCACTCCCAGGGCTAGAGTGCAGTGGCATCATCATAGCTTACTGCAATCTCCAACTCCTAGCCTCATGCAATCCTCCTGCCTCAGCCTTCTGAGTAGCTGGGACTACAGGCATGCACAACCACACCCGGCTAATTTTTCTATTTTTAGTAGAGATGGGGGTCTCACTTTTGCTTAGGCTGGTCTCAAACCCCTGACCTCAAGTGATCCTCCTGCCTTGGCCTCCCAGAATGGTTTGTTTCTTAAAAGTCACATAAAATCAATTCAATTTTAAATAAAGGGCTTAGTATCCCTGTTGAAACCTGGAACTCTTTTAGGATAAAACCCTTTTTTGATCAAATAAATGTTAATTTAAAAAATTCAAGAAATGTATAGGGATTTAAAATGGCTGGTATCCTTAAAAGAGTTAATGCAACTACTTATGAAGAAGAGTCTACTTCATAGAGTTACACATTTTGCTAGTAAAAAACCCAAGAAAATGGTTACTAGTGACTTGGGCATCCTATACCAGCTCATCTCTTACAGAACATGGCCCACTACAGGCCAAGTTAATTGGTTCACTAGGTACATTCTGCTGGAAAGAAACTACAATGTGATTACTGATAGCAGGGGAAACGCAATTTATCCTTACAACCCCAGGATCACACGGTTTATCATCCATTCTATATGTAAATATAAGTAAGGTGGGGGGAGAGAAAAGAGAAAGACAGACACTGTGTTTAGTCTATTTCTTGGAATCATTCATTGAATTTTAGAGTCAGAAAAGGGCCTTAGAAATCAACCATTCATTCTAACTTCTTCATTTTACATATGAAAGCAAAAAACACACTTGGTGATCATTAGAAAAGAAACTAGACAGCCTATTACAGAATTTTCAACAGGGAAAGAAAAAAGGGTAACAAAGTACTAAAAAATAAAGTAAAAATATTTGAGGAACCAGAATGATGGCTGCCTGCAGTTCATCTGCAACACGATCCATCAGGTGGAAAAGTATGTGGACTACAAAGGTTCCAAATCATTAACATTTCAAATAGGCAATTTGGACCAAAAAAAGTGTAGCTTCATAAAACCTTGGAGAAAAGAGCAAAAGTTGTTAGGCAAATTAACTTTATTATGAGAGATTTATTATATTCAGTTTGGAAACAGGTATTATTTTTGCATACATTTTGATTAACTGAATATTATTTATGCAGACTTTCCTTACAACATTTACAAGTTCAGTATTTCCACTTAGTTATAGTAAATTGTAAATATTAGCTGCTCAAGAACTCAAGAAAAATGGGAGCAGAAGAAAAGGATCTGTGGCTTTAATCAAGGGTGTGGCACCTTAAAAGTAAGAAATGAGACTCCGAGCTGGAGAAAGAGGACTGGTATCCTTTACAGAGACAGAGTGTGCAATACAGAGCACTTGAGAGTATCTAAATTATTGGCATCTTTTTACTTCCCGTGATATGTGGGAGAAGGTAAATATACTCTCTGGGGGGAAATGCAGGATCTTTCAGTCTTGCTGAACCTCCGGTTATTTTGCACCTCCGTGCAGGCTCACGCTGCACGCACACACGCAATACTCATAACTCACAAATATTCAAAGATTACAGCACCTGAAGGGCAGACCTGAGTCCATGATGGGTGCAAGAGGAATCCTGATTAATCCACAGGACAGAAATGAGACCTCTTTCCAGACACTACATCCCAGAGATGTTGCCCTTTGGTTCAGTTTGATAGCCATGATGCAGTTCAGAAAGTAAGTAGCTGCTCAGTTTACTGTGAGATCTTTGCTACAGGTTTTCAAAGGCGCGCTTTGCAATTACAAATCCATACCACTGGCAGAACATCCTGTAAACTGTAAGGGAAAAGGGTTCTCATCTTACCAATGTTTGTCCCCCTTTCTTCCTAAAACATGTGTAAATTTTTCAAAAAAAGTCAGAATTCCAAGATTTCTGTCCCATGTAAGTAAATTACAGTCTAAGAGAAATCACAAGAGGATCCCACTCATGTTTCTGTAGAGTTTCCACCAATCTAAGATGCTCCTAGTCCCAAATAAAACTATGCTTTACTAAAGTCAACCGTGTTTTTTGAAACAAAAATATATGTGAAGCAGAAAATCCGATAAATCATGTACTCCCCCCCCATATTTTTGGATTCACAGTTATTCACCTAGATTTACCTTTACATAATAGGTGAATTAAATTCTCTTAGCAATTATATTTTAATATAAGCCACTTTTCAAAACAAAAATGCATTTATAAAACAGAAAATACAATATTTTACTTAATACCGTTATTCTAGCACATTTCCCAACTCGCAGTGAGTGCTCCGGCATTACTACTTCGCACTGCCTCCTGGTTTAGTAGTTTCCCCATCCTAGTTGGAACCATTGTTACTTAGAAACTGACGGTCTAATTAGTCTTCCCACTGACAAAGAATATTTAATTATTATTGCCTTTGGGGTTTAACAAGCGTTTTTTTGTTGTTGTTTTGTTTTAATATACTCAACCCTACTGTCTTTCCTTCTCGGGAATCATTGCAATAACTTACTTTATGTTGCTGGTTTTGTTTTGTTTTTCATATTTTACCTTTTCCCCACGATGCTTAAAAGAAAGGCGCTCGGAAACCTGGTTCTCAGCGCCCAGGGGAACGGAACTGGGGGTTGGGCCACCCAGCGCCTCTGAGCACCTAAGTCCCCTCGGGCTTTGACCGCTGATGGCGGCGGTCTCCATGCTAACCGCGTGTAAAGCCTCCTGGCCGCACCGTCTCGCCGCCTGTTCCCCAAACGCCCAGCGAAGGCTGACTTAGGTGGCGGGGCGGGCCTCGCCTACTCCTCACACCGCATCTTTTGGTCCAAATCGTCCTCCCTTTCTTGGCTCAGAGTTAAAGACTGGGCTCACAATACAGTAACTTAACGGTATTTGGGCCCTTGGCTGCCTTGGTCAGTCGGGGTCACTCGCGTCGGCGACCTGGGCTGGACCGCGCACCCCGCCTGCTCCCCGCCGAGGCCCCACCCGGGTGGCTGCTGCGGTCCGCGCGCGGCGGGGAGGAGCCGGCGGCAGCCGAGCGTCCCGGGGTCAGTCTGGCTCGGGCCGAAGCGGGTCCAGGGATACCGGCGCTGGCCCTCTGCTGGGATCCGTCTGCTCCCATGGGCACGCGACCCCCACCGAATTGGTTCTCGTCCTTCCCTCTCGTGGCGCGAGGTCGTGACTAGTGCCCAATGTCGCCAACGCTCCGGCCTCAACCTAGTCCCAGGCAGCCTCGTGGGCGTTCAGGAGTCGCAGCTCCCGGCTCCGGAGGACCCCGCGGAACCGCGCCAGGCTGCCTGGGACAGGCTCGGGGTGCCAGGCCGGTCCGGGTGCGCCGTGCGCACTTGGCAGTGAGACCCCACCCAGGAGCCGGGTAGAGGATCAGCGACTCTGCCGCAAAAGGGCAGCTCCAGCGAGGACCCCTTCTGGGCGGTGATGCCCGCAGGCCTGGGCCAGCCCCTCTCCGAAACTCCCACTCGGAGAAAGGGCGCTGCGACCCCAGGCGTGCCCCCTGCCACTGGTGTCCGAGGTTCCCGCCGAGGCTCGCTGCTCGGGGCTGCAGCCTCGTCTCCCCGCGCGCACCCGCCCCGGCCCCGCAGGCTCTGCCCCTCCGCCGCCCCATCCCAGCTCCGCTCCGACCGGCTGCACCTCACCTGTGAAAAGCAGACAGCCGAGCAGCGCGCACAGCAGGACCCCGGTGTCCCAGCAGCTGACCATGGTGAGCGCGACGCGGCCTGCTCGCCCGGTGCCCGCGCTCCCCGCGGCCAGCGACCCAGCCGTCCGAGCCCGTCCTCTCGCGCTCCGCTGCCGCTGGCCCCGCGCTCTGGCCCTGCGCCCCGAGCGCCCCTCTTCTCGGCTCCAGCCAGGAGACAACCACTTCCCGGGTAATCCTCGCCGCCCGGCGCCCGCTGGCCTCTGCGCCCGAGTCCCGGAGCCCGCTCCGAGCCGCCGCCGCCGCCGCCGCTGCCGGGGAGGAGCCGCGAGGAGTGTCCGGCTGGCGCGCTCCAAGCCTCCCGCGGACCTCGATTAAGAGGAGCCGAGGGCGGGGGCGATTTATAACCTTTCCCCAGCCCACTTCCTACCCCGGCACCTCCTTCTGGTGACGTCAAGGGGTCCCCCACCCCTCATCCGCCTCCCCACCTACCCTCTTCTTCCTCCCGGGCTCGCTTCCCCACGGCTCCGGAGAGGGGCGGGGGCCGCCGAGGGCGGGTGGCCCTGGGCCGAGCGCGCGTGGGGAGGCGCTGGCGACGTGGGCCGGGGAGCGCGGCCTCAGCAGGTTCAGGGTCCTTACTCCATGCCCTCCTGCCCCCGCCCCTCCGCCAGCCCTTCGCGCTCAGGAAATCCTTGCAGAGTCCCTCCACCCGGCTTACTCAGCTCTGGGGGCCGCCCGAAACTGGGGAGGGGACAGGGTGAGGTTCCACTGCCCGGCCCCCGGGCGGAAAGTCGTATCCAAGGGAAGCTGGTCGCGCCTCCGCGACGGTGTTCTTGGCACTGAGGAGTGAGGCGCAGTCCTGCTCTCTCCCCCTGCCTGCTCCTCTCGCGCTGTCCCGCCTCCCCTGACCTCGCCAGACTGTCCCAGGACGCCTAAGAAGGCGCCTGAGACACCCGACACGAGGCACTGGACCAGGGGACCCGACGCTTGCCTGGCACCTTTGGGGCGACTGCGAACCGGCTCAGGTCCCAGGGGAGCGCGTCTGTGTCTTTTTCGGCCGCCTTCATGCACCCGCCCAAGTCATTTCCTCAATCCTCTGCTTCCTAGAAGCAAAACAAGGAAAAACATCATGATACCTTTAAAAAGTTGAGGCGTGAAACTGTCCCTGCAACTTGTAAGGGCTGAGCACTTGAACTTTGTTTCCTAAATGCTTGAAAAAGAAATCTTTCTGGTGGCAGCTTGCTACACAAGAGAAGTGACTCTGTTGCTCTTCGACAAAATCCGAGTGAAATTAACTTGGGGCACTAGATCACTGGCGATGACACTAATTCCACGTTGTTCCTCAATTATGTCTCCATTACCTTAAAGGCTGAAATCGACCTGGGCTCCACGGAGCAGTCCAGTATTGTCTCTGCAAATACCGCAGGTTTGAAAATAGTTCTATTGGCACCTGTCAGACGGTCATGATAGAAAGGGACGGGGATGGCTCCTGAATGGGGCCAGCGACTCTTCTTGAAGGACTGGACTACTTCCCCGCCTGGGACGGTTGAGCAACCCAAAGTTACCACGCCTCGAGGCTGCACACCAAGGAGAAACCGTGGCCACAGGCTGCTCCACGCAGGACATGTGCGTTTGGGCACCGGCGCCGCGGTTCCGGATCCCTCCCGGTTCAGAAGCAGAGAAGACCGCGCGGAGGCATTGCTCCTCGCCTGCGGCTTCGTCTCTTTCTACTTTTTCCAGTGCCTCTCACCACTCTCCCTGGCTGCTTTTCTCGGCCTGCCTGCGCACACCTGGTTCCTCCAAACCACGGGATCATCCCGCGGAACAGCTGAAAGCTGAGCTGATCCTTCTCCCAGCTGGTGCCCCAGCCCACGACACAGTCTGGGACACCCTGGCAGAGCCATGGTGTACCTCTGCCTCACCTCAGAGCAGCTCGTCACTCCTTCACCCTCTCCCAAGGAGAAGCTGTCCTTACTCTGCAGCACCCAACAGGGGCCCGCATTGTGTTAGCGCTGAAAACACTCTGATGGAAGGACTTCATCTCTACCCTCCAAAGGGCTTAGAGGGAGGCCGGCAGGTGAAGAGGCCGCGATGGTGCAGTACCAGGATGACAGCGCTGGAGGGGGAGTCCTCCATGGACTCAGAGAAGAAAAGGCACATCCATCAGCAGGGGAAACTCAAGGAGAGCTTCTCAGGAGAGACACTTAGCTGACTCTGGGGAAAAGTGTGGTCCATAGTACAATGTACCAAGGTTTAATTTATTGATAATTTTTTTCAAATGCTATTTTGATTTTTTAAACTCAAAAAGAGACAACACTTTCCAAACCTGCTGCCAGAAATGAATCTACATTGAATTTGTGAAGCCAGAATAGGTATTTGCCAAACAGCTGAAACGATCTTTATACTCTAAGATGCTAATCAACAATGCTAACATATTGCTCAATTATTTAAGGTTAATAGAGCAATGGTTGAATCTAACTTAGACTTATATGAAAACCATGCTTCGGTAAGAGTGGTCTTCCACAAATTTCCCAACTATTCTTTTGAAAAATTGCAGGCTTTTGATTATAGTCAGCAATTTCTTTTCTTTCTTTCTTTTTTTTTTTTTTTTGAGGCAGAGTCTCACTCTGTTGTCCGAGCTAGAGTATCATGGCGTGAGCCTAGCTCACAGCAACCTCAAACTCCTGGGCTCAAGCAATCCTACTGCCTCAGCCTCCTGAGTAGCTGGGACTACAGGCATGCGCCACCATGCCCAGCTAATTTTTTCTATGTATATTTTTAGTTGTCCAGCTAATTTCTTTCTATTTTGTTAGTAGAGATGGGGTCTCGCTCTTGCTAAGGCTGGTCTCGAACTCCTGAGCTCAAATAGTCTGCCCTCCTTGGCCTCCCAGAGTGCTAGGATTACAGGCATGAGCCACTACACCTGGCAGCAATTTCTTTACTACTACTTTTATGAGTTGCATTAGCCCTCTCACAAAGAACTCAAAAATGCTACAGATTGTCACAAGTTTTGTTTGTGATTTCATTTTAGCTTAGATATGGGGAATAAAGATATAGCTCTCAACTCTCTCCCCAAATGAGATAATACCTTTGAATAAGAATGGGCTACAGCACTGTTCTAACTAAATCACTAGTGAAAGAGGTTTTGTAGATAATACTGATGGAAAAGATCAAATTCAACATGCCTGGTGGGTATAAAAAGCTATTGAAGTAGACTATCTTCTTCTTCCTGCTCACATACAAAAGAACATTTCATCTCCTGTTTGGTTAGCAAAACCAGACACTCTCTCTTGTTATCAGCCACAAACATTCTCTTGAGGTTTCTTTCTCACCCTATTCAGAAGCATGCCTGTTGGTAAAGCCAACAGCTTTGACATTCAAGACTGAATAAGAGTGTTGGAGGACCAGTGTAAGAGACAGGAGGGAACCTAGGGCCTCATCTTCCTCCAAAGGACCAGGTGTGGAGCTGCTCAGCTTGCAGTCACTGAGACTCAGTCAGGAATTTCATCCTTACATGGGTTAGATGGCTTAATACAAAAGGAGACATATACTCTGAGGCTATGCTCTGCATAGCGCAAATATGTACGCTTGGTTACAAGAACCAAATGATCTTATAAAACTCTTTTGTGTTGTATGAAAACAAGTCTCGCAGTACATATCCTCTGAAGTTCGAGCTCCTTGGTCTAAGAAGCACACTCTCCGAATCTCTGTAGGAAGTTCTGCTGGACTCACCCAGAGGCACATTTATGGTTTTATTTATCAGATACTGAGAAGTTCATTGGCTCAAAAGTCTTGCTTATGGTAGTCTACCACTGTGGCTGAAACGTCCCCATTTTCAAAGAACTCAAACACCTGGTACTGGTTTTTAAAATCCATTCAACCCATCTACTGAGTGAACTCATGGATTTCCTTTGTAATATCTTCTTCAGTGCTCCAATATCTCTGCGTGAAAATTTATTGAATTTTCAAAACAGTTTCCAGTGCCCTGGGCATCTTTTCTGCAGCCTCAACATCCACATCCCTTTGGTCGCTCCTCAACTAGCACGCTCTAGAAATCCCTTCCAGCTGCCCTTAACATTCCAGCTCATCAATGTCCCAACAGGTGACACCGTCAGGATTGAAAATGCAGCACAATTATTATTTCCCTGCTCCTCAAGATAGTTTTTCTTTCAGGTGGAGAGATGAGCCTGTGGGGAGGCCCGGAGGTGAGTGAGGAAGGAGAGTAGTTCAGACGGGAAGAGCAGGAAGGGAAAGAGAGCGCAGTGGACAGCCCCTGCCTAGAGATGAGACCAGTGACACAGAGCACAGGGTGGCATCTGCGTCTGGTGGCTCCTCTGAGGCCACTGGTGTTGGCACCCTCACTTCTCTTGTTCCTGCTGCACGCACGTCCACCTGCTCCTGACTACCTTCTCCCTCGCATAGGTTGGCGTTGCTGTAGTTTATAGGGTCTCTGTGTGATGTATTTGGGACTCTCGCTACTCTTTGAGGCTGTGTGTCCCAGCTCTGGACTCCCAGTTCATCCTGCTCCTCCCTTTTGCTCCCAGGGGCTGTCACAGAGATACCACATGCATTTCTGTTACTGGAACCTAGGATCAAAGAAGCCTTATCTCTCAGCACCTTCATACCTTGGACTCTTCCGGAACTTGCTCCTGGTTAAAACCCCTGAGGCTTTTTCATGAGAGCTGTTGTCTGGCTTTGCTTGTGCAGCCACAGCTTTTGATGACTCATATTGCAGACCCTTAGACATACTCTTCTACAACTTCTTGTTTGATTTAGCCTGTCTTTCCGGCCTGTTGAAATCCTTTTGGCCTCTGATTCTGCTATTCAGTGGATTTTCTGTACCCTCTGCTTCAAATTATCCACAAATACGATAAATATGCCTTCCGGATCATCGTCATAATCATGGATGACGGCAGAGCTGCAGGAGTGAATGGATATGTGAAAATGAATGAAAGTAGAGATCTGTGGGATTGAATGACCCAAGGAAGGACTGAAATTATTCCTTTGTGTCGTTATCTCTACGTGTATAATCACCAAAGGAGGCTGCATATTAATTCACCAACATTTACCATGTCATTATTTAGGAATAATTGGTGGTCCTAGCAAGAGGAAATAAGACAGGTAGGTTTTATTCAAGGCATGCTAAGAAAGTAAAAAACAAAAAAACTCAGACCAAGATAATTAGAGAAGCAAGGGACAGTAGAGAAGACAAAGCAGAGAAACAAATAACACCCAAAGGAAAAGCCGACTAGGGACATCTGTGTGATGCTCATCTAACCGTTATCCTCAGCCATCCACCTAAGGTCGATTTTATCCCAGCACTTAACTGCCAGCCATTGACTTTTCCCCTTATTCTGTTTTCGTATTTTA